TATTATTATTATTATTATTATTATTATTATTATTATTATTATTATTATTATTATTATTATTATTATTATTATTATTATTATTATTATTTGCAAAAAAACTAGTTCGAACTGTTAGAACCGTCGGTTCTCGGTTCAAATAATGAGGAACCGGAATCACGTTGACCCCGGTTTGGTTCCGGTTCTAACCGAACCGGTGGTCATGTCTAATACGAGGATACGATTGTTGTGTGGAAGATTTTTATTTAATGAGATTTTAAATGCTACAACTATAATTATGTTGTTTAGCTTGCATGGAGTGGTCCAATTCAAACTTTTGCAACTGCACGCATTAATTCACCCCTTCCGGAAATTTTATGCTACACTCGGTTATTAACACTGAAATTACGCACACACATTTATGTGTATGTGTTCTTAGTGAGTCATTATTTAACTTTATATACAATTATCAAATACCCGATATAAATAATTCGGTGTAGCATATAACTCCCGATCTTTTTTTAGGAAATTCTTTCCTTTTCCCTAACTATTTGATGCAATTTAGGTTCTTCTGATCTAGCCACATCACTTTTATTTTCTTGAATAAATAAATATTTTTTTTTCATTTCAAATTAATTGTCATTTTAATTATATACAAATTACTTTTCGAAATTATAAATACTCTATCGATTATAATTTCAATTTTATAAATAGTTATATCGTAGCAGGTTCAATTTATAAAATTAAAATAATTATATTCAGACATGGTCCATGGTCTTATTTTTCAGTCATCATCTTCTTGCCCCTACTGTTGCAAGTGTTCAGTCTACTTTTTCTTTTTTGGCTTAAAATGTGTTTACAAATGGCATAAATCGCCCCAATGTGCTGAAAATTGCACAAATCACCACAAACATGCTAAAAATCATACAAAATCACCCTTAACTGTGCTGAAAATCGACAAATCATCCTCAAAATAAATATCATAATTATTGTATCATATCGCGATATCGACGATGTTTGAGTACAATCAATACGTATGCCAATCGAGTCTTATCGTTTCCATAGAAATAGTATCGTATCCGCGATAAATATCGCAATATTGACTACACTGATTTATAAAAAAAAGTGAAAAATAATTCGATATTTGAAGTTTATGGAGTACATACATCATGGAATAGACCTCAAATTGAGTACGTGGCGAAGTAGTTACAATATTGATTTTGCCTAATCAATGAGAGGCAACAAATAGACAAAAGAAAAATACTATCATGAACCGGAATCAGAACCGAACAGAACCGAGTTATTTACGATTCGCGTAACATCTCCGTTTTAATTATTTACTACGAATTCGGATCAACGATTCTTTCAAAATTGATGATTCCATAACAAAAAAAATAGGCCCTCAATTTCGATGTGTCACAAAGCTAAAGCATCTCCACCAAATGCTACCATACCTAGTAATTAATGCCTCCCCTCTCCTTACTTCATATATACAAACTCTCCACACACACACACACACACACAACTTTCATCATCGTCATCATTTCCGATGGCAGAAGTTGATCAAGAACGAGGCCTTGTGTACGACATCAAACTATCGTCCGTGGGGCCGGGAAATGTCACGGGCCAGGACTCGATTTTCGAGGCCCGTAACATGGACCTGGCCATGAAGCTTCACTACATTAGATGCGTCTACTATTTCGGGAGCCGGGCTTTCGAGGGCTTGACCACCCTAGCCATCAAGGAGCCCATCTTTGTGTGGCTGAACCGGTTTCCGATGACAGCTGGCCGGTTCCGTAGAGACGAGTCGGGCCGGCCTTATATCAAATGCAACGACTGTGGTGTCAGGTTTATCGAGGCTAAGTGTCGCACGTCACTTGATGAGTGGTTCGAGATGAGTGACGATATTGCTATGCGTGAGAAGTTTCTTTGTTCGAATTCGATTATTGGCCCTGAACTGTCATTTTCTCCTCTTATTTACATACAGGTTGGTAATTTATTTATTTAATTTTTATTTATTTTTCTAAGTTTATGATAAGGTTGAGAATTTGTTATAAATAGTATAAATTTTAATCTGTTCTATTTTTTTCTACCTACCTTAAAAGAAACTAAAAATAATTGGGTTTAACACTATATGTGTGAATTTATAGGAATATTTTTGTGTTAACATCTCTTAAATAACCAATACAAAAAGTGATATTTTTATTTTATTTTTATTTTATTTTTGTATTTTTATATTTTATTTTTTTATTTGATAAATATTTATATATAAAATATGGGTAAATTACAACCAACCCCTGAGGTATGTCAAATTACGAAACCCCCCTCATATTTATGTAATTAAAAATACACTCAACTATGAATCTTCTTACACAGTGTCAATTTCAATAGAATCTTTAGATTTCGTGGAATGTTCGCTAGTTCGTATTCGTTCTGTGCAAAAATGCAGTTACTAATGCACCACAGATATTTACAAGTCCATAGACACATCTTATGATCATCATGTTTCAAAATGTGAAGTGCGAATGGGGTAAAACAGGTACAAACTGGAGAATACTCCATATAATATAGGAGATTCAACTAAATTTGACACTACAATAGTGGACGTAAAAAGACTCATAGTAGAAGATGATGATTGTAATACCCAAACATGATATGGTCCTTTTGTAATTTGACATTAGTTTAGGGGGTGACCGTAATTTAAGAGATAAAATATTTATACTTCACAATTCACATAGTGGGGTTGTTGAGTTGGTCTAAGCTTTTAAACACTTGATTGAGACACCAACCTCGTTAACAGAACTTGTTCATTTATATAAAAAATTACTCCTATCATTAAATATATTTAAATTTTAATATAAAATATTTTGATATTTTGAAATATTTAAAATATTTAGTATTTGAATTTTTGTTGCAGCTGACTAAATTCAAATGTGGAGGAATGGCTGTGGGCCTGAGCTGGGCCCACGTTCTTGGAGATGTGTTCTCTGCTGCAGAGTACATGAACAACTGGAGCCGGGTTGCGACCGGGTTTGGGCTAAACCGGCCCATTAATAAAATGGCTGATGGTCCAACAAAGCCCAAATATTTCAACGGGCGGGTCAAAGTTTCGGAGGATCCTCTTTCCGTCAAACGGGTCGACTCGGTCGGAGACAATTGGGTATTTGCAGCTAAACGTAAAACGGCGGCGTTTTCCTTTGACGTTACCCCAACACAATTGAGCCATCTCCGGTCAAAATTGAGCAGAAACGGGATCGATTCCCCCGCTTTTGAGGCGATTTCTGCTGTAATTTGGCGATGCATTGCCGGAATCAGGGGCGGGGAATCGGAGCCACGAATTGTGACGATCTGCAAAAGGAGCGAGGACAATGAGAAATTTAGGGTTTTGAGGAACAATCAAGTAGTGCTCGTGGTGAAGGCCGAGTCTCCTGTAATGGAGGCGAACCCTAGCGATCTGGCGGCGCTGATGAAGAACGGAGGTATTGACGAGCGGGCAGGTATCGAGGAAGCTGTGGAGAGAGACCACGGGTTGCCGGATTTTATCGTCTACGGCGCGAATCTGACGTTCGTGAACCTTGAAGGTGCGGACTTTTATGATTTTGAGTACAGTGGGCAGAAGCCGGTTCGTGTCAGCTGTAGGATTGACGGTGTTGGTGAAAATGGGGCGGTTCTGGTGCTGCCGGCGGCGGAGGGAGGCGGAGGAGGTCGGTCGGTAATGGCGATATTGCCGGAAAATGAGGTGGCTGCGGTGAAATCGGAGTTGAAGAGGGAGGGGTTTCTTCTTATGGGCTGAACAAAACCTTTTTCCTGAGAACGTGTTGTTTTTAGGTTAAATGGAAGCAGAACAGAGAAAGATGCAGTAATGTATGTATCTATGTATCTATCTATGTGTGTGTGTCTCTTCCCTTTGGGTGTTTTTGTTTTCTCCAAATTCTGAAATCTGTAATATTCTCAATTCTGCTAATTTGGATTTGAAAATTTCTGATTTTTGAGTAATATTTTTCAATTCGAATTCTAAGTTCTAATTTTTTTTCTGAATTTTTGGGGATCGAAATTGGAATATGCCGATTTACAATAATAAATAACATGTTCTCAATTTAATTTAATATGTGTAGAAGCATCCTAATATTGACACGCCGATCTCTTTCATTTGCCCCCAACCATTCATTTCTCTGTTTTCTCTCTCTTCTTTCTGCACACACAAAAGGGAATTAGGAATACATCATTTTTACACGTACTGTATTTTGATAAAGAAAAAAAAAAGAAGAAACAATCGTTTTCTTTATCTGAAATTCTTGTCTCTGTGTGTGTGTGTGAGAGAGAGAGAGAGAGAGAGAGAGAGAGAGAGAGAGAGAGAGAGAGAGAGAGAGAGAGAGAGAGAGAGAGAGAGAGAGAGAGAGAGAGGCTATATTTATCATGAAAATTTCTGTATTTTGTTTCCATAGATTAGTTTATTTATCAGAAAGCTAACCATGAAATAAATCTTGATTCTTGGCGGTTTCACATGTTCAAATCTGTCGTAGAGATTGATTAAATGGGGGGAATATCGGATAATGTGACCGGACTTGTTTTGGCGATCTCTTCAAGCGTATTCATCGGTTCTAGTTTCATCATCAAGAAAAAGGGCCTTAAGAAGGCCGGTGCTTGTGGTACTCGAGCAAGTTAGTCGTTTTTGTTACTCTAATTTCAATTGTTCTCATTCTTTTTTTTTTTCTTTAATCTACTTGCTAATGTACTTCGTATAACTAATGATATCTAATCAGGTGATGGAGGCTACTCTTATCTGAAGGAGCCTTTGTGGTGGGCTGGTATGATAACAAGTAAGATAACAAATTCAACGATATCTATAATCAGATTTGCGCAGTCATTATTTCTTTAGATTCTTCTGATTAGATAAGTTATTTGTTATTGGAAAATCAACTGTTTGTTTATTTCCGTAGATGGATATTCACCTAGCTTTGACTTGTTTCCTGCTTTTACACGGCAGTGTGCTCCTTGTAGAGTCTGAACTAGCATCTTATTTCGCAATTCGATTCACTATATATGTTAATAACATGAAACACTATCATTGATATGATGCAAATTAACTATGTTTCTAGCGTTCAAGTCCAAACCTTTAGAGCTCTATTGGATTGTGATGTATAAATTTGTCCCGAAATATATAATATTTCGTTTTATTTTGCTTTTGATCCCGATTATTTTGCATGGATTACAGTGCTCTTCGGGGAGGCTGCAAATTTTGCTGCCTATGCATATGCTCCGGCTATTCTCGTGACCCCCTTGGGAGCTTTAAGTATCATTTTCAGGTATGGCATTATACGTATACCTAAAATATAAATGGCCCGTCTACTTATGAATGCTGTTAAATATATAATTTTCCAATGCAGTGCAGTGTTAGCTCACTGCATTTTGAACGAAAGATTGCATATGTTCGGTGTTGTTGGTTGTATTATATGCTTAGTGGGCTCCGTCACCATTGTTTTACATGCCCCACTGGAGAAGGATATTGAATCGGTCAAACAAGTTTGGCACTTAGCCACTGAACCAGGTACGTAAAATGGTTCTATCGTTTTCCCGCTTTATATATATAATATATATTTTTCTCAAATAAAGTATTCTTATTATAAAAAAACCCGACGAGCGAAAACCAGAACAAGACTTACTATACTGGTTTTATTTAACAGGTTTTATTATCTACACTTGTGTAGTATTGGTTCTTGTCGCAGTTCTAATTTTCGGGTTTGAGCGGAGATACGGGCAGACACATATGCTTGTGTATATTGGAATTTGTTCTCTCATGGGTTCTCTTACGGTTAGTTTGTTCCCTCTCGGATATTTTAATTCTTAAATTATAACTTTGCCTCGTTTGATAGGTTTGATTAGTCTTGATATATAGCTAATCACTTCGAAGAAAGGCTTCTTATGTTTTCCAATTCTACCCTTATGCAGGTCATGTGTGTGAAAGCAGTTGGGATAGCTTTAAAGCTGTCGTTTTCGGGGTCGAATCAGTTCATATACTTTCAGCCTTGGTTATTTACTTTTTTGGTTATTGGTTTCTGTCTTATGCAGCTGATTTATCTGAACAAGGTATAAAATAATCATTATTGCTTAATAAAAATTAAATTCATCTAATCTTTCATTTAATTTGTTTTTTTACCCGAGAATCTATGTATCGACATTTTGCAGGCACTGGACATGTTCAATACAGCTGTCGTGTCGCCTGTATATTTCGTCATGTTCACATTCCTCACTATATTAGCCAGTGTCATCATGTTTAAGGTGATGCAATAATCTTCACTTATCGTATGTTATATTATCTATCTTTATTCTTCGTGGCGTTTTTTTTTTAAAATCCTCCGTCGAAAACAAAATCTTGATTTTATTGTATCGACTTCTAGGATATATTTATCCCATCAAATCTATTTAAAAAATAAAAAAATAAAAAAAATTCACATTGTTGGTGGCTGTTATCGAAATTTCAGGAATGGGATTCTCAGAGTGCGACGGATATTGTGACGGAAATATGCGGTTTTGTGACGATAATTTGCGGGACTTTTCTACTGCACAAAACAAGGGATATGGGAGGTTCTGCAGATGAACCACCATCATCATCATCACATATAACTATAGAGATATGCAATTCCCCAAGAAATCAGTATGAGGTTTGAGCATTTGATCACTGTGTGAAACTTGAGGGATTGAACTGTAGACAATGGGCTGTCGAAAACAAGTGAACTTTTTCGAAAAATCTTTGTTTCGAAAATGAGGTAACATTCTCTTGAGTGGCGCCTTGGCGGTATCGGATTTATATTTTGTTTCTTCCATTGTTCTATATCTTTGGTGGTGGTGGTGGTGGTGGTGGTGGGTGGTGGAGGTTGGTGGTCAGAATTTGCACTTGTAGATGAGAAATAAATTCAATTACATGTATACAGTCTATTTATGAAAAAACCCCTCAGATTTGAGAAATTACATCCAGCCCCTTACGGTTTGTACATTTTTTACATCCACCCCTTACTAAAGGTTATTAATGTAAGAAACCTACACATGAGGGTTATATTTTCCGTAAATAGATCTTACTTCAGAGGACGGTTGTAATTAGCCCTAAATTCAATAATATGAATTAGTCTTTGAAATTTCGAATGGTGTAATTTTATCGTCTCAGCAAATTGTTAATTCTTTTTATATAGAAATTACGGATACCTGTAAGATTAAATAACTTGCAAATTTATGTAATATTGATAATTACAAATACCTCCTCAAAACTAATAGTCCAATATAAACCTAACGGAAGAATGAATTGTCTAAATTACCCTTTTTATTAAACAAACAAACTATGAGTATATACCGGTGTCCCCTGATGTAAGATCCCCTTCATATCCCTCCACATAGTATATTACATTTACTCCATACATTTAGAACGAAAGTTCCATATAATCTTGAAGATTTCGTTACTTATAACTCCATAAGGGTGTAATTGTAAGATAGAAAAATAACTTAGGAGTATTCGTAATTACAAACACCACAAGGGCTTGTAAGTCATTATGTCTTATCTCATAAGTGTCCGTAATTTACTCATTTATAAATACAGATTTTTTTTATTTTTTTTTTGAGAAATTCATTTATAAAATTCATATATAAAGATAACACTATTTTATTTTTACATGGTTTTACTCGGACAAATTATTATTCTAATATATAATTTTATTATTTTTCTAAAACAAGTGTTCATCAATTTTTTTTTTGTGTGAATAATTGTTAATAAAATAATCGAATCTAGAAAAAATAAAAAATAAAAGTAGATAAAACAGTAATTATAACCAAGCTAATTTTATTACAATCGATTAATTTATCCAAAATTAAATCCAATTATGTAAGGTTTTTACAGAATTAACAGACATCGATGAACTAATTATTATATACTTAAACAATGAAAAACCCCCCTTCCTTCCTCCTCGTGAATAATGAATATACTTTCCCTTTCTCTCTCCTCTCTCAAATTCTCTCTCTCTCATGATCTCTCTTAGTTAGGGTTCTTCACTTCGAACCCTCGCGCTTCAATTGCTTCTTCTGAAACTCGAGGTAAGTATCTTTGATTCTGATGCTTATGTGCACACGCACTCACACGTGTTTCTACACACACAAGTATAAATCGCCTATTTCTTCATTGCTGGTAAGGAATTTTGATCTAGGTTTAGGAGTTGTATTCAGACGCGCGGTTATGTAATTAATTTTTTTTTTAAAAAAAGAAGGAATTTTTATTCTATGTTAGTTGTAGATATTTTTTCATAGTGGTATTGTAAAGTGATGACGCCTCAGCCAAGGAGGAAGAAATGGACTGAGGCGGAGGAAAGAACCCTAATTGATAAGTACGGTGAGATGTCGTGTGATGGGAGTTTATCGAAGATGAAAACCCGGGAGAAAAAGTACAAGCCGATTGCTCTACATGTCAATTTGATCCACCATGCCCGGGACCCGGTCTCGTATCCGTGGCAATGGACTTGGAAAGACGTGTCGACTAAAGTGCAGAACATGAGGCACCAGTACGCGCTTGTGAAGCAGAAGATCAAGAAGCAGGAGTCTTCGATCAGGGGTTTGGGCGGAGAGGACGAGTTCGATTGGATGGAAGGGATTACTCATTGGTCGAACTTCCTTCGGTATAAGGAAGTTTTTGGTGATGTGGCGCTTGCGTTTACGAGCACCGATGGGGTTTTGGGTGGGAACGGATGCAACGGTGGCTTTGAGGATGTTGTTGCTCCGTTTGGGCAGATGGGGCAGGTGGCGGATGGGGCTTTTGTCGGTGGGATTGATGGGGTCGAAAATGGGGTGATGGATTTGGAGTTCGATTATGATGGGGAGGAAGGGGAAGAGAATTACAACAGGGGTAACAAAAACGAGGTTTGTATGAGAGAAGACGATTGTGCAAGATTTGTTTGTGAAGATATCGAACCGAATCCATCGGA